TCCTTGATCTCTTGCCAACTTCCCACCCTTCCCCCCAAGTCCCAAAGTCCATGGTATCATTCTTTTTTTTTTTCTTTTTTTAGATGCAGTTTCACTCTGTCACCCAGGCAGGAGTGCAGTGGCATGATCTCAGCTCACTGCAACCTTCGTCTCCCCAGTTCAAGCAATTCTTGTGCCTCGCCCTCCGCAGAAGCTGGAACTACAGGCACCCGCTGTCACCCGGGCTAATTTTTGTATTTTTAGTAGAGAAAGAGTCTCACCATATTGGCCAGCCTGGTTTCGAACTCCTGACCTCAGATGATCTGCCCACTTCTGCCTCCCAAAGTGCTGGGATTACAAGCGTGAGCCACCATGCCTAGCCAATGTATCAGTCTCGTACCTTTTCATCCTCATAGCTTAGCTCCCACTTATAAATGAGAACATAGGAAGTTTGGTTTTCCATTCCTGAGTTACCAAAATATTCCTTTCACTACAATCAGGTTCCAATCCACAGTGATTCAAACCAAATTTTCCTCATAGGTTTTTTCAAAATCCTATTATCACTCATAAGTTGTAGGTGAGAATGTCATGGTTATATTCTCTCATATATAATTTCTTAAAAAGCATTGATTTAAAAACAATAAACATCACACATGATAAAAATTGGTATTTTATCATAAGATCATGTATACATATTTATGAAGACAGAACAAGGACTAAAGTATAGATTATTCATTTATCACAGACTGTTCCTCTATTGTCATTCAGAGAAGGTCAAGAAGCCAGCTGCTCTGAGAATCCTATCTTGAGGCACAGATGCTGTAGTTTCTTTATTCTGCAGGAACTGCTGTAGAAAGGAGTACTTAAATAAAGTATCCCTGGTCTAGGAGCCAGAACTCCACTTTAGTCTGGGAGAGAACAGGAGAAAAAGGTTGCCAGAGACTAGTAGCTTCTTTGCTCTAAGAGAAGGAAGCATGAGCCTCTATGTGAAGTTGAGAATTTTTGTTGGGGAGTTTGCGGAACAGAGTGTAAAAAAAAACCTGAATCTGGACAATAGTCAGCTATGAAGTATTTAAAAATGCAAAGGAGCTGGGCACAGTGGTTCACGCCTGTAACCACAGCACTATGGGAGGCCCAGGCAGGTGGATCGCCTGGGGTCAGGAGTTTGAGATTGGCCTGGCCAATATGGCGAAACCCCGTCTCTACTAAAATACAAAAATTAGCAGAGTGTGGTAGTGTGCGCCTGTCGTTTCAGCTACTTGGGAGGCTAAGACAGGCGAATTGCTAGAACCTGGGAGGCGGAGGTTGCAGTGAGCCAAGATAGCACTATTGCACTCCGGCCAAGGCAACAGAGCAAGACTCCATCTCATAAATTAATAAATAAAAAATGTAAAGGAGCCAGGCACAATGGCTCATGTGTGTAATCCCAGCACTTTGGGAGGCGGAGGCAGGCAGATCACCTGAGGTCAGGAGTTTGAAACCAGCCTGCTTAACATGGTGAAACCCTGTCTCTACTAAAAATACAAAAACAATTTAGCCAGGTGTGGTGCAGAGCATCTGTAGTCCCAACTACTCGGGAGGCTGAAGCAGGAGAATCCCTTGAACACAGGAGGCAGAGGTTACAGTGAGACTCCATCTCAAAAGAAAAAAAAAGTAAAGGCAGACATCTTCTTTTCAGACTTATAGTCAGTTCTAGAATGAGAATACCTAGACAGAAACTGAGGCAGGAATGAAGACCCAAACAAACCAGCACTCTCCCAAAGATATGTAAGCATGACATTAAATTATAGCTGGTGTGAGCACAGCTTGAGAAAATACTCAAAGGCAGGTGACTGGACTTATGTATAAATAACTCCCTTTTAAGAAAACCAAGGCCCTCGGCAAGTACAGTAGTTCCCAGGGTTTTTGATTTCACAGATAAATAACATGAAAATAATTGGTAATTGACTTTAACAACCTACTTTTGTTACTTTTTGAAAAAGGATACTTAAAAAGCACTACAATTTATTGTTACCATTGTTTTGGGTTTTTTTTTTTTTTCCACCAGAAAAAAAAATTGTAAAGGCACAGCCTCACAATTACATACAATTATTGAAATTGAACACATTCGGGTTTATGAAAAACTTAGGACATTGTCCTATTTTTTTCTCTTTTTGTCAGGGTCATTGTTTCATCAACTAGCTGATTCACATAGAAAAATCCTGAAACATATTATTTATCTTCAGAGAAATTCATGTTGATGTTATTGGTTATATCAAATAGCTCATCCAGACAACATTATTTGTTGAATCTTACAGGCAGTGGATTTTTTAAAAAGGGGCCTGACTCCTGCCCTTAATAGGAAAAGGATACTGTTTTCAGAATAAGTAAACAGGATATAAAACTAAAGAGAGATGTCCATCTTCTTGAAGAAATTGTGAAGAAGCAAGAGAGCAAGGGGAAATGGCTTGTCAAGTTTCTTGAATATTTAGAAATAAGATCAGTTTCAAGGGTCAAGTACTCTCTTCCATTTTAAGAAAAAACTCCTTCATTCAGGGAAATCATCTGACACTTTAAAAATGTATCAACAAGTACTCCATAAATTTATACAAACAAAAAAGGACATATCAATAAGCGGCAAACCTGTTAAACATATGGTTTATTATGCAATACTTGATTACTAATATTCATTGTGCACTCACTATATACAAAATACTCCCCTCAATCCTGGGATATGGGGAGAGAATTTCAAAGATGAATAGGTCCCTATTTCACGGAATTTACAGTTTAGTAAACTGTAGAAGGGTAAACAAACCACAATGACTAGGTCAATCTAACAGAGGGACTGATCATTTGTTAAAAAGCAAATCGTGGGCCGGGCGCGGTGGCTCAAGCCTGTAATCCCAGCACTTTGGGAGGCCGAGGCGGGTGGATCACGAGGTCAAGAGATCGAGACCATCCTGGTCAACATGGTGAAACCCCGTCTCTACTAAAAATACAAAAAATTAGCTGGGCATGGTGGTGCGTGCCTGTAATCCCAGCTACTCAGGAGGCTGAGGCAGGAGAATTGCCTGAACCCAGGAGGCGGAGGTTGCGGGATGCCGACCAGGCCGCAATGCAACCCCGCCTGGGGAAAATAAGAGGAAACCCCGTCTCAAAAAAAAAAAAAAAAAGCAAATCGTGAACTCACATTCAATCCATTATTTTCTTTAAAGAAGAATTAGTGGTATTTTTTAAAAAAATTATGCTTCCTATGATGCATCACAACGACCCTTAGTCTGAACTAATTTGCAGTCAGCCAGAAGATATCCCGAGTCATGCCCTGCATTCTGATCACAAGCACTACCACCTGGTTTCAGCTGAAGATTTTTTAAATTGGATTTTTTTCTGTGTTTCTGTTTTTCTCTGTTCCTCTCCCTCGAGGAAAGTAGAAGGTAGGTTCCTTTTTTTGTGATGGAAGTATACTTTCATTTATTATTATTGTTGTTAGGGATTTTGAAGCCTGGCTTTTAAAAGCCTGGGAGGTTGCGGCGAAAGGCACGTGAGAGAGAAGGTTTGCGGGAGGTTACCAGCAGGTGGCGCGTGTCTCCTCCGAGCAGATTAGAGTGCTTTGCTCTGGGCCAAGAATCCCGTAGGAATTAAGGGCGACTATGTGTGCAGTCAATGCAAGTGACACAGATCATGCCACTCTTAAGTGCCGAGTCCATGAACTCACCAGTTCCAGCCTGTTGCCTAGGCCATCACACTTCTGCATTACCACTTAAAGGACCGGCTCCTCTACTCCAAGGGTTGCACTGCTTTCGTGCTTGAGTCCCGCAAACTCATTTTCCCCAAGCCAAGTCGCTCATAGGGGACAGTCAAGCTTTACGAAGAGAGCAAAAATAAAGGCCCTGGAGAGTTGGACACGAACCTTTAACTTCAGGAAAGAAGTGGTACTTTATTAACCTTCCAGCTGGTCTTGCCCTTAGGGTGTCAGATGTTCTCTGTCGCCCCTGGCGTGCCAGCATTGGCCTGGGTGCCGCTGGGTGGCTGATGGCAGAATGTGAATTCGCTTGCAAGCGGATATGATAGTTTCCATTCCCCACAGGGGCAAGAAGAAGGGCACAAACACACTTTGATGGTTCTTTCAGCTCAGACTCGACTAGCCGATTTGCTGGTTGGGGTCACTGGCTTTCTAACCTCTCCTGGCACCGCCCAATTCGGGGGCACAGCCACTCATTTTCTCCTATGACAATGTCTTCCGTCTCCCATAAAAACTGCCCTCATTTTGAGTTTTTCCTCCCTATGTCTGTAGCTTTCTTCTGCCGCCCAGCACTCTGCCCCACGCGTATTCGTCCCTTGGCGCTGGCGTCTGGCCCGAGGGTACACTGTCAAGGAGGTCAGCCCTAGATTCTGAGGGTCACTAGTTCGAATCTAGCGCCCCTCTAACTGCAGGGGTGAACTTAGATACGTTTCTTAACTTCCTCTGTAGACTGAGGGAGACAATTTTTGCACTCCTGGGGTCCCTGGATTAATAAGATAATTTACGTAGACTACCTAAACCAGCACCTGGTTCATTGTAAGCGTCCAAATGCCAGGGGGCATCTGCTGGGTGACCCCATAGTGAAAACTGCCTCTTGGGGATCTCTGGGTTGAACAGCCAGAATAACTCGCAGAACTGAGAGAGCCCTCTCCTTCCCCAGACCTCAATGTACTTCAAATCCCATTCATTGCCTCCCGCCGTTGTATCCGTGTTCTCAGCCCCCCACCCCCGCAACCTCCTGCCCCTAAAGCCTCCTGGGCGGCAAAAGGACGTCCCGAGAGAGGTTGGGCGCCTATCTGAGTTGCCCCCAGCAGGCGTCCAGCCCCGCCGTGTGCCCCGATTGCGGGGCGGATCGCGGCAGGGCGGCGGGGGCCGGCGGAATAGGCGCGGAGGAAGGCTCGGGCGGGATAGACTGCGCGGGGGAAGGAGGAGGAGAGAGCAGACGGCGGAGGAGGGCAGAGCCGCCGGGAGGAGGGCGCAGGGGCGGGAGGAGACACATGCGCGCAACCGCCGCCGCCGCCGCCGCCGCCGCCGCCGCCGCCGCCGCCGCAGTCCTTAGCTTCCCGGGGACAGGAAACCTTCAAGACCGAGCTGCCACGGCCGCCTCCCTGCCCGCCCCCCGTTCTACGCGCCTGCCCACACCCTCCTCCTCTCCTTCCAGCGCCTTTCGGTGAAGCACTGCGGCACTCAGCCCGAGCTGCCGTTTTCCCCTCGCGGGGAACGCTGTGACCCCCCCCGCAGGAGCGGCGGGGCGGGGTGGGGGGGCCCGGGAGAAGATGGCGACGCCGGGAAGCGAACCCCAACCTTTCATCCCGGCTCTCTCGGTAGCTACTCTGCACCCACTTCATCATCCCCACCACCCCCACCCCCACCACCAGCACCAGCACCACGGAGGAAGCGGCGCCAGCGGCGGGGCGGGTGCTGGCGGCGGCGGCAGCGGGAGCTTCAACCTGCCCTTGAACCGGGGTCTGGAGCGCGCGCTTGAGGAGGCGGCCAACTCCGGGGGGCTGAACCTGAGCGCCAGGAAATTGAAGGAATTTCCCCGGACCGCAGCCCCCGGGCACGACCTCTCGGACACGGTGCAAGCAGGTGAGAGGGCCGAGGGGCGGGCAGGGGTGTGGGTGGCTGTCTGGATGTCTGTCGTGCGTTCCCTAATGCGGTCACCAGTCGGAGATCTGGTCTTGCTGGGAGGGCGGGGGGGCGGGGGCGGTCCATCGGCCGGTCGTCTCCCGAAGAAGGGACTCGGGTGGGCACGGAAGAAGCGGGCCCTGGAGAGGGCACGGGGGCCCCGCCTCGCTCGGCGGTGCAGTGCCTGGAGGGTAGGGGTGCGCCGGGCCTCTGCGCCGGTGAGCGCGGGGGCTCGGGCTCCCCACCCAGTGGCTGCTGCGCTGGGGAAATACCAGCGGGGCTCGGACCTGCAGGCGCGCCGCGTGCGCGCCGTGGAAGTGGGAGGTTTCAGGCGGCCGCGTCGGCTTCCTGGGCCCCGCGAAGGGGCTGGGAACTCGAGCGCGGACAGCGGCGTCTGCGCCTCCAACCAGTTCGAGCTGTCTTTGCATCGAGGCGTCGCCCGTCCTGGTGGGGAAACCCAGACAAAGGTGGCACGCCCTCGGCCGAGCCAGGGGCATCGGCGCAGTGCCGCGAGCCCCCTCCGCGACGTCGCCGAGCGATCGGGCAATTCGGTGCCGCCCGCGAGGTGCCCAGGCTTCCTCTTCCTGCGCCTGTGCGGGAAAAGAGCCGCCGGGCTTGTAGTGAGTCCGAATCGGCTGCCGCTTCGGAAGCGATCGCCTCCCTTCCTTGCGTGCCTTTTGCTCACCGCCCACACAGTTCGGGTCCTACCACCGAGGCCAGCTGGTTCTCAGTTACCCAACCTTTGCGGGGGCCCAGGGAAAGGACTGCATGGCATATTAAAAGCAAAGTAATTAACGTGAGCCTGTTTTCCTGTGTGAGCCCGGCAAGTTGTAACTCGCGCCAAGAAGCAGCATAAGTTTTTCAAGTTACGTCATGTGTTACATACTTCTAAAACGTCTGCTTTCTTTTTGGTAGTTGGAGTTCCAGGAGCAGGATCTATAAACAGGAAGGAGGGTGGTGGAATGGGTTTGGGACCTTAGGGTCTGTACAGTACTGACTTGGTTTCTGACCCTCCGGTTCAGCTCCCTGGGGGAGGGTTTGTGTCATAGCAAGCGCCCAACTTTTCCCTGGGCAGTGGGTGCTCCTTTTGGAGTCGCTGCCCAGACCTCTTGGCTGTCATCGCCTCATGGACCCAGGGTTAGACCTCCTGGGTCTTGGATGGGTTGTCCCTCAGCAAAGGAGCACCCAGTGTAATCTTGCAGTGGGCAAGGGAGCAGGCAGTGGGCTTTTGGAGGCTAGGTTTTCCAGTGTCTTTTCCTCCCTTTATTTCAATAAACATTTATCTAGATCCTTAATGAATATTTAGATAGAATTCTGAGTTCACTGGAGGCAAAGATGGCTCTCCAGGGTCATTAAACTTTATAATTTGGATTTAGGGATAATCAGGAACGGGCAAAAAAGAGGGAATTTCCAAAGTTGAGCTGTCAACAGCTGGGGAGTCTCTTTCAGTAAGACCTCTTACTTACAACTTCTTAAGTGGAAGTTATTCCAAGAATTGCCTGAACCATTAACTTAAAAAAATATATTAAATTTTACTTCCCTTCTGCCATAGAATGTAGCATGAGCTAACTGTGCAATGGTTGGATATAGCTGCAGAAAACAGAGCTGGCATGACCAATAATAATATGTTTGTGCAGTTTCGTAAGGGGCCTCATAGTTCTACTTCAGTTATGCTAAGGATTATTTACAAAGTTAGGTGAACTTGATGTGTCTGCTGTGTTGGCATTTCTTTGAGACCAGTGCTTTTGAAAGCAAGCACCACATCTTTTAGCTAACACCTCGCCATGTGAAGTGGATGCTGAGAAGTGTTCTCTTTCTCCCTTTGGCTTGTTTATGGCAAGCTTAAGTTGTGAGTTTTGCAGGTTTTTAATTATGAGCTCACTTGCCCATGCTTTATGCTCAGGAGAATCTAACTGGTTAAAATTCAGAGGCTTTATGTCAATTCCTCATCCAAAAATACAATATTATTTGGGGGAAGAGGAGTGGAGGGATATAACCTATGTTTGTAGAAACTGAAGCCAACCCCATCAGAAAAGTATTCATTGTAGCTAGTTACTTTACATGAAATTAGAATACCCAAATGTGTTAAATATTTGCTTCTGCAAAATGTCATTGCCTCAGGGCAAAAGCTAGGTGTAAACCACATGTATTCTTTGTTCTAAAGATATATTTAACTGAGCATGGTTTCACATTTGAAAGACCAAAAAGCAAAATAAAGAGTTAAAGTTACCTCCAGTGTGCACAGCGTTGATACACCCTACATGTCAGAGTTCTAGTAGAGTTGAAAGTTTTAGTAGTAACATATATAATAAAGATAGTGGTTTCTCCTTGACTCATATTTAGTTTAAGAATGTCTCTTAAAATCAGAATGGCATAGGAAGATCCTTAAAGGCCTAAGGGGCAAAGTGCATTTTTTTTTTTTTTTTCCCATACATTTTCTAAGACAGGCAGTGGTAGAGCAAGCTTTTTCTCACTGTTTTGTTATATAACACAGGCCATTTGGTTTACGCCTTGTAAAAAACCAGGCTTCTGGCAGCCACCTGTGCAGAACTGCACTCCTGGGCAATGTAGCCTGTCCGAACAGAGTTGAAAACCAAGATGTAAACAAATAAACATAGAATAGACGTCTAAGCTGTCACTCAAGTGCGTATACTTTATTGATAGGAAAAAATTCAGGCTCTCATTTTGAGTCTAGTAATTTACTTATATTTGAATCAAAATAAGATTTGTTGTCAGAGTCTAGTCTTTTAACAGATGAAACGGGGAAAGAAAGACTGATCCACGCAGGCTTAGTGACACAGATGTCCCTGACCAAGAGGGGCAGAACAGAAGAGCCACCCTCAGTACTGGATGTGCTTCAGTATGCATTATCTGCATGATCTCACTCAGTCCCCACTGGAAGCCCAGTCATACCCTCATTCACACATGGGAAGATTGAGACAGAGACAAGTCAGGCAATGTGCTGAAGATTATACCTCTACCGAGATGGCCAACCAGTGATTGGAACTCTGACAGCCTCACATTAATTCATGTTCTTGACCATATTCTCATCAAGCAGAGGGAAGGAGTTGAGAGGTAGAATCTGGAAGGCTTTCTGGAAATTCATTCAACCAGCATTGATTCCACCAGAATGTGCTGAGCCCCACTAGGTGCTGGCCACTGATCTAGGCACTGGGGACACAGTGGTGACCAAAAGAGAATCCCCGTATCCCTTCTTACGGAGTTCATTCTAGTTGGAGAATGGCGAAATACATGAAGAAATCGATTTAGCAGGATAAGCAGGATGAATTTTAGGATATAATGTCTTTGTTTTATAAATACACAGACTGCTTTGTATTGACTTGAGGTGGCTTGTGGCAACAGCATAAATGATGACTAGTAATATATATAATCTGAAGCATAAATTTGGGCCAAAGAGAAAGAAGTACACATATTTGCCTATGAGTAAAGCAAACGTTTTTGGTGCTGATTTATTAAATAGTGTCATTTTGGATGAAAAAGTTCAAAGAGGTATTTCTACCATTAGAAGTGAATTGAAAAGAGGAGAAAGAAAAGAAAGTGTCTGCCTCAGGCTGATTGCAGGAGGTTCTAGGAAATAAAAACAGAAGCCCTTAGACTTGACAGGCAGAACACTTGTTGAAAGTTAGTCTTGTTAAGGAGAGGGTGGAATGTTTCATTGTCAGTATCTTTTTGAGTTGGCTCTAAGCAGGAAAGACTGGGCCAGGTGCTGTGGCTCACACCTGTAATCCCAGCACATTGGGAGGCATAGATGGAAGGACCACTTGACCCTGGGAATTTGAGACCAGACCCTGTCTCTACAAAAAATTAAAAATTAGGCTGGGCGCAATGGCTCACACCTGTAATCCCAGCACTTTGGGAGACTGAGGGGGTGGATCACTTGAGGTCAGGAGTTTGAGACCAGCCTGACCAACATGGTGAAAGCCTGTCTCTACTAAAAATCCAAAAATTAGCCGGGCGTGGTGGCGGGCACCTGTAGTCCCAGCTATTCAGGAGGCTGAGGCAAGAGAATCACTTGAATCCGGGAGGCCGAGGTTACAGTGAGCTGAGGTCGCACCACTGCACACCAGCCTGGGTGACAGAGGGAGACTCCATCTCAAATAAATAAAAAATTAGCCGAGTGTTGGGGTGCATGCCTATGGTTCCAGCTATATGGAAGGCTGAGGTGGGAAGCCTGTAGGTTGAGGCTACAGTGAGAGCCATGACTGCGCCACTGCACTCCAGCCTGAGTGACAAAGTGAGACCCTGTCTTAAAACAACAACAACAAAAAGACTATATGGGAAACGAAGAGGTTACCCAGGGAAGAACATAGAAGTGCACCATTAAAAATACCCATTTATGCGTGAGGGCAGAGTTCTGTAGGAGATGCCAAGTATAAGACAAGACGTCCAGGAAGCTGCTGAGGCCCAAGGCAGGTAGCAGTGATGGACACTGTGTGTAGAATTCAGAGGAAAAGGTCGTATTTATGAGGCTGCTTAGGAAAGACTTTGATAGCAAAGGCAGGATTTGGATCAGGTTCTGTGGGATGGCTAGGATTTACATAGAAGTACCTGTGAATATTCTGTGATCGGAAGGATGGTTCCAAGATGTGGAGTAAGAACCTGATAGTTTGCCGGGTGTGGTCACTCATGCCTGTACTCACTCCCAGCACTTTGGGAGGCTAACATGGGTGGATCACCTGAGGCCAGGAGTTCAAGACCAGCTTGGCCAACATAGGGAAGCCCTGTGTCTACAAAAAAAAAAAAAAAAAGTAGTGGGGTGTGGTGGCTTGTACCTATAATCCCAGTTACCCCGGAGGCTGAGGCATGAGAATGGCATGAACCTGGGAGGTGGAGGTTGCGGTGAGCCGGGATCATGCCAAGGCACTCCAGCCTGGGCGACAGAGCGAGACTGTCACAAACAAAAGAAACTGACAGTCTAAGATTCTGCGAATAAAAGAAAC